TTTAAATTCATTGTAGTAGTGGGAGTCGAAACCTTCGTCGATTTAAGTTTTTTTTTTTTTTTTTACTAGTTTGTTTTTTCTTTGTTATAGATACTAACTTCTCTCTTTTTTTCTTGAAGTCATCATTCTTGGAGTCATTCTTCTTGCCATTCTTGGAATCATTGTAGTAGACCTTTGTTAATTTAAGTTTTTTTTTTTTTTTTTTTTTTACTAGTTTGTTTTTTTGTTACAGGTATTAACTTCACTCTTTTTTAGGTGCTTCTTTTCTTGAAGTCATCGTTCTTAGAGTTATTCTTCTTGCTGTTCTTGGAATCATCGTAGTAGTGGAAGTCGAGACCTTTGTTGATTTAAGTGGTTTTTTTTTTTTTACTAGTTTTTTTTTTTTGTTACGAGTACTAACTTCTTTTTTTTTAGATACTTCTTTTCTTGAAGTTATCATTTTTGAAGTCGTGTTCTTTGGAGTTGTCATTCTTGGAGTCTCGTTCTTGGAATTTGATAATGGGTGCTTCTGGTGTCTTCATTTTGTCTCTGTTAGAAATTGTCAAGTTAGGGCTCTGTTATAAGTGTGCGAGCTGGGCGAAGTATTTTTTTAGATTAGGTTTTTTTTTTTTTTTTTTTAATATAAATAAAGTACAAAGTTGGCACCGGATCTTTAAAAAAAAAATAATAAATTTCGGGTTGTACCTGGTAATAATAGATCGACCGATCAAAATCAGTCCTGTAAGTCACGTGTTTGCTGATTTGCTCTTCGCAAATCAGTCGCTCGTGACTCACGTAATCGATTTTAATTGGTCGATCATAGGTCATCATGGTGACGAGTCGTCATAAAATAATGCCCTAATTTAAAAATCTAGATTTGATTTAAAAAACTTAAATTTGAATTTGATTTGATTATTTGATTTTAAATCTTCAAATCAAATTAAAATTTTAGCTATTTATAAATGACTTTAATTTTCTTAAAATTTTATTAAGTAAATCAATTTTGTATATTTGTTGTACTCCAAATGACAATCGGTCTGATTATCAATCGGGGTAGCCCAGATGACAATTTGATTTTGAGCTATCAATCTTGCCCCATATGCAAATTGCAGATCATATTTATATTTTTAGAAAGTAATAAGAAATAATCAATTAACAATCGGTTTTAAATTTTTTAATACTATATAACAAATCTATTATGTATAATAAATTTTTTTAAAAAATTTTATTATAAAGTTTAGTATAAAACAATTTTATAAGAAATTTTTGAAAGCTTCTAAGTACTACTAATTTATTATAAAGTTTACTATAAAATTAATTATTATAAAGTTAACTTTACTATAAAATTAACTTTATAAAATTATATTATTAATACATATTTATTATAAAGAAAATTTTATATAATAGCGCAATAGTTGGAGTTTAAAAATTAACTATAAAAAAAATTTTTTTTAAATTTTTTTTTTCTGATGGATTCACCTAACGAATATACTTTTTTATCATACCAAACATTTAATGAAATTACAGATGAATACTTACTATTATTAAGCGAAAAAAAAAGATCAAAAGCATTAATTACAGAGGATATTGCTAATAAATATTTGCAGATTTTAAATGACCCTAAAAATACTTCTATTTCAAATTCTAATATACGTCACCATGTTAAAAATAACTATTTATCTCAAAGGATCGGTGGAATTGTAACATTAATGCATAAAGAGAAATCGTCAAATAATTGGAAACCTGTAGCTTTAAAAGAGAGATTATACTATATTATTGCAGAGGAGTATCTGGCTGTTAGACATGGAAGCACAAGAGCTACTTATAAACAAGTATCAGATAAATATCATGGTATAAAAAGATGCTTGGTTGATAAATTTGTTGAAATGTGTAAAATATGTAAAACACGCAGATTATCTAGCAAACTTTTAGCCATAAGATCTATTATTAGCAAGTTTTTTATGCAACGGCTTCAGGTATGAGATGATTTTTTTTTAAAAAAAAAGGTTTTTTTTTTTAAAAAAAAAGAATTTTTTTTTTTTAATTAAAAAAAAAATTAATAAATAACTTTTTTTTTTTTTTACTAGATTGATCTTGTAGATATGCG